GGCGGAAACCGCAGGGGACCTGTAGTTGTGACATAACTGTAACAGTTAGACATATAGTATCGCGGACTTTTTTGTAGATATTCATGTACTCTATAAAACTTTAGTACATCACTTTGCTCTATTGTCAATGACATTCACAGCGTAAGCAATATAAGGTATTTTTTTTTTCACACAAACAAACAATCAAATCTTCCCTCGGTGTAATATTAGTATAGATGTATTCCGGGTTTTTTCTCAAACGCAGCCGGGGAGTGTCAACAGTATCACAAGAATATGACGTAACGGAGTGGCGAATCGTCATTTTCAAAATAGTTTATCTTTATGTTGTACATATCCCACCAAACATTAACTAATTATTCTGAGAAGTTTCGGAACTCCCGGAATTGTGAATGCCGAGACTTCACAAACTTCATGCCAAAATGCCATCAACAAGAACCAAAAGCCAGGTGTTGCTTATGACCACCAACTTCAGAAATAAATTATTCTCGCAAGTTCGAAGAAAGCAATAAGGTCCCAAGAACTCGATATTTATAAATAACTTATTGCGAAGTGCCATAGGTTTAGGAAAATAATTTACTTATTTCATGAGAAATTTGTATAAATATGAGATCAAACGAATTGTACTTATAATAGCATATTTTCATCATCATCATGAGCCTATTAATGTCCCGTCCCCACTGCTGTGGCGCAGGCCTTTCTTCTGAATGGAATAGAGAGAAAGAACCACCAACACCACGTGGGCACTGTGAATCGACTGTAGATATAGCCAGATCCAACGCAAGAGGAGCGCGAGATTTTAAATTGTTGGTCACCCATCCATTAACGTCAGGAAAATGCGTGACGCATACCCCACCGCCTTGGGAGAACGGCGAGGTTATGTAGGACTCTACCCCTGTCTTCCGTCCACCCGCTCAGTCAGTCCGAGGACTAGCTCAACGACTACTCGAGAGGAAGGGGGCCTTATCCACTAAAAACCTGACGATGTCCCTCACGTCACCGATGGGCCGTCACCTCGTCGGGCGCAAGATGCGCCATCAGACGGTAACCCGCCCGGCGAGGCTAAGGCACTGGCTGAGGCCACGGGAACCCATAATGATACTTCCGCGACCTCACCAGATGTTCAGCCCTTGCAAAAGTTGCTTCATTTTCATAATCGCAGACCGAAAGCGCTAACCACTGCGCAATTGCACTCTTAAATTTTAATTACTTATTTACTTGGCAGTCCTGCAGATTTAATTTTTTTTCTTTCACAATGTGTAAAATTGTATATTTTGTTAAATGACTGATTCATATCTGCACATTATTTTTACAAAGTAGCTAAGGATTTCACCAAATATCTCATAAAAATAGTACTAGAAAAAAATCAGCTTGATCCAGGTTTCAACCGAGATTTAAACATTTATCAGTTGAAATAAAATATAATACTTAAAAGTAGTGATAGTAATGAAAAAAATATTAACACTGTTGTTGGAAATAATATAGCATATACTATACAAAATTATGTTTTCAGTTTCAGAATAGATTCCATCCAATGGCAAAAGCTCGCCTCAAATGATAAAATCATTGTAAGTTTATCGAATAACAGTTTTATTTGGTCTTTATAAAATCCACTCTCGTGTACGAAGCTTTGAAAATAAAAACACTTTTGACATGTGACATTACGCTGAATAACTGGGAGATTGAAGAGAGTCCACATTAAGTCTTATTTATTAATAAAATATAGTCTAGCCGTCTGGGTTCAGTGGCCAGAAGGATACACAAAGATGTAGGTAGCTAAGTGGGTTAGCCAAATGAGAAATTATTTTGGGATTTTTTCTATCCTAAACTTATTCAATACACTTTAATAATGGGCTCAACTTTCGCTTTCCAGAATGTCTTTTATCATTTGTGGATGAAAATATGAAGTTACCGTATTAACTTGATTATTTATTTTAATTTATCCGAAACTTTTCAATTCCTTGAGCTTTATCTTGCTTGATATAGGCTTTACAATCGTTTGAGAATAATTGACACTTGTGGTAACTCTTATTAGTTGTTGAACTGTACCTGATAGTTTTATCTTTAAAAGATCGTAAGTAATTTTTATACTTTATTAGCTTTTCAGTCGCGGCAATCTTCTGTAGTCGTTTAAGAAGTCTTATTGACGAACATCACATATTCGAACGTCATTGTAGATTTTTATGCTTATAACAATGGTTATACTTCCACTTATCACTTTTATAATGGGCTCAACTTTCACTTTCCAGAATGCCCTTTATCATTTGTGGATGAAAATATGAAGTTACCAGTATTAACTTGATTATTTATAGTGTACCCAATGGTATGATGACCGGACAAAACATACCTAAAGGAGACCTTCGATTTTATTTTGACCCAATTGTGAACCTTGGTATAGATATTACGTAGACGCGATTTGTTATGGAATGACAGATGATAGCTAATACTATTGGTTTACATTCATTTCTTTCATTGTGATTGGTTGTATCAAAAATCACGTGACTTTTTCAATCACATGGTAATGACTGTAATATTTGATCGCATTGGTACACAGACTTTTAACGAACCTTTTGAGTTATTTTATACTAGCTGCGCCCCGCGGTGTTACCCGCGGTTTATTAGGGATATCTTGCCGCAGTAAAACGTAGCCTATGTGTTAATCCAGGATGTCAGCTAACTCCATACCAAATTTTATTAAAATCGCTCCAGCCGTTTAGACGTGAAGAAGTAACTAACATACACACTCACAAACTTTCGCCTTTATAATATTAGTGTGATATATTTTGATGAGTTTGTAATATAATATAATATTGTCCCGTCTGCTGCCTGGTCCGCGTGGAATTTTTTCTAGTTATATTTTCTTTAGATTTAAACATCAAGCAGTTACATGCTTTAAAAATAATAAAAATTATAACTATAATTGCTATTTCTTCTTTCAAATGTTTAATACTTGTAAAAGTATTCATTTGACATTGTGGGTTTACCTATAATGCGAAGAGATGGCGCTGCCTTGCAGCTTAAGAATAGCTAGAAAGAATTTCGACGCGGTCCGTGAGGGCCGCGGTAGCATAATTGGTCAGTGCATTCGCCCGGATTGCGAAGGGTGCGGGTTCGAGTCCCGTCTGCTGCCTGGTCCGCGTGGAATTTTTTCTAGTTATATTTTCTTTAGATTTAAACATCAAGCAGTTACATGCTTTAAAAATAATAAAAATTATAAATATAATATTATGCTAGAATCAAGCCTTTGCCGATCAGGTTTTTTTATGATTTCTGTAGCTTATTTTAATTAATATGAAGCTACACATTTACCATAATATATTATCTATGCCATTGATTAATTTATGTGGTACAAGTGAACAATAAATCCCATGTATATGTTTAATAAAATCGGCATATTTTTCTAAATTATAATTATAAATGATAATACTTGAGGTACAGTATTGACCAAAGTTGTATGGAGAAAAGAAAGGATCCTTTTACTGTTATTTATCATCAGTAAAAATTTGAAAAAAATTGACCGCATCTTTTGCCCAGAATGGCGTCAGAACTTACTTCGACACAGTACAGCGCACTGGTGTCCAGAGTTCTCGAGGCTCTCTGCTTTATCTTTTAACTAGAAATTCCTGATGGTCCACCACATTTGCTTGGAAAACGTCCATCAATTTCAATCAGTTGCACATATCCTTGACAATTTGGTGGTTGTTTTTAAAATATCGATTCGATCGATTAGAGAGAATCTTATTTTATCGGCTTGGCATGGTCACCCTTGCTGCGTAGGGAAGCCGTTAACAGTCTGGTTTGACTTACTGAAAACATGAAATATTGGAACGAATCTTATCGACGAAAAATTTGCTTATTAAGCTCTGAGTAGAAAAGTGAATGTCGCAAAAAATATAAAATGTTTAATTATAATCTGCGGGAATACTATTTAAAAAAAACCTATTTGTATTTATCTTATTAGATATTAGGCTACCACGAACACATCACATTGGATGGAGGAGGCTCTAACAGGGAGGAAAATCTCGCGATAAATAAACATAATTTATATGTTACTTATAGACGACCTCCGTGGCCGAGTGGTTTGTACACCGGGTTTCATGGTGTCGCCAACTCGAGAGGTCCCGGGTTCGAATCCCGGTTGGGGCAGATGTTTGTGTGATGAATACGAGCTTTTGAACTCCACTCGTGGATGTTTTTATATGTATTTCTATATAAATCTTTATATATATAATTCTTCTGTGAGTGTGTATGTCACTGAACTTCTCTTAAACGACTGGACCGATTTTGATGAAATTTTTTCTGTGTGTTCAAGAGGATCTGAGAATGGTTTAGATTCACAATTTTGTCCGCTGGACAATGTTTTTTTAATTAAATTTTTTTATGGCGGTACGAAGTTCGCTGGGTCAGCTAGTATACTTATATGTGTATTGTAACCGTTACCCTAGTATCCCATAACACAAGCCTACAGCGCTTACTTTGGGGCTAGGCTAATTGGTGTGAAGTGTTGGAAATATTTATTTATAAAGGCGTATTTACATTTGGTCGTTAGTCCGTATTCGGATGCACGGTAGACATTACTCGAATTCGGGCACCCGATGCAATATTTACATTGTTCTTACTCGAACACGAACTGGAAAACGGCGTAGGGTAACCAAAATAGAAAACTGTCTGAATACGGGCGTACTCGACTCCGTTCATTTACACTTTAAGTCGTTTGTCCGAATTCCAAAGGCAATCGTATTCGGGCTTACGACCAAATGTAATTGCACCATAAGAACAGCTAAGTTGATCAGGGATTCACTATCGAGGCAACTTGTAGATATGAGAGAAAAAATGTACTGATGACTAATGTACTGATGATCGCTGTTCACATTATATCAATATGCATTATCGTTATCAGCAACATTTCCCGATATTTGCGGTGTTATCATCGATTTATCTTCAGTTCTGGTTAGGCGATACAAGTATTGACAGTTCACCGTGCAACAGCAGAGATACACAAAATGGATCATAGCGAAGTTGATTCTTCACAATTTGATGCTAAGGCTGCAAATACGAGGTAAGATCTAAAAGTAATTAATGCTAGATTTGTACGGTAGTTCTTACCTAATAAATTATATGTAATTGGAATATCCAGTATTTGTCATATCAAGAATCTAAAGGAGTTGTAAATGGATTATTGACTATTATTAGATTAGTTGGGCAACGCTGCTAGTCTTCTAGGGACAGTGCCCCGCACAGGCGAACTCAATGAAATATTTAATTTGCAGTTATTGTTGTCTCTTTTGTTGATATAAATGAAAAATAAGAATCTTCACAACTCAGATCAATTTTATACCTACTGTGTACATGTGCTGTCCATTTCTTTGTCTACACTACAAAACTAAAATGCTCATTCTCTTAGCGCGATCTAAAATATTTCCTAATGTGTTTGATTGCATAATAAGTATATAATGAATGGGAGCGTAGTTCCTTTATAATATATGGCAACGCTTTTATGAGTCATCTGGCGTTACAGATATCCTTGAGCGATGGTGATAGATAACTTACCATCAAATAAACTGTTTTATCGTTTATTCATTTGCTTATGTTGCAACACGAGTTACTTGAACCAAAAGATGTTCATTCAATTGTACATTTTAATTTTCAGTTCCATTAATAATGCTAACCCTGAAGGTAGTGGTGTTCTTCCAAAAAAGCAGCCTAAATTCGATCCTGCTGCTTTGTACTATGACATGTCTGGAGACAAATTCCTAGTTATTTTCAACCACTTCGAGTTCCAGAAGACGCGATATTTCAAGTAAGTCTGGTTAATAATAAGCTACTGTTAGTCATATACACATCTACACATCGATTCATTTGTATTTTCTTTAACGCACTTTCTGCAAGTATAACTATGACAGTTGTAACTTTTTGAGAAAATCGAATCAGAGTTCCAATGCATTAGAGGGTAACCCGTTTTCTTTGCGGTCGAATGTATATCTTTTTTTTAATTTTCTACGATTCCCGGTTTATGTATGTACCAGTATGTAATGTTATTAATAATTATAATGACAAAACTTATGGTTCCTAATGCATTTACAGTAACAAACGTCCAACAACCAGAAAAGGGACACATCAAGATGAGACAGCATTGAAAGACACATTTACAAAACTCGGCTTTAAAATATTTATATATCGAGAATACGAGTATACACAAATAATAGACGCAATGAAAGCAAGTAAGTGCTATTTTTACATGCCTGCCCAAAAAAGGAGTGTAATGTATTCAGGGTTCATGTATGTGATTTGAGCCTTTAAGAGGATTTGAGCCTGGGGGTCGTAACACAGGTTTTGTAACCTAGTCCAATCTCCAGCTCTCTCAAAGAACTGCATTGTTATTACTGTTTTTGTCATTCACTACCCTTTTAATTAATTATAATGTTACTTTGTGACTTTGTAAGAGAAAATAAATAAATCATTCATTCATTCATGTATGAATGTGAGGGGTCTCGTTCTAAACTTATGGGCTTGAAAGTGCTTTCTTCAACTACTACTCGCGTCAAGTTCTTGAGATATTTTCTATATTGTCGGAGTATTAAATAGTTGTATTGTCACCATTGTTTGCACTATTTACATTATATCATGTTTTTATCGCGTCTATCAAACTTCATAGTAATCTGACAATTGAGCGTGATAAAAACGCGATACATATCATGTCGCTGTGCTCAAGTTATGACGTTACTGTCATTTTACATTTATAAATAGTTAGAGAATATAATATGTTTAGTGTTTTATTTATTTTATTATAGATTAGAAATGTAGGGAACCTATTACTAAAAGCAGTCGAAAACCTGTTTTTAAATTGGCATATGAATCCTCTGCGAGTAGATTGCATTTTAGGATTAAATTCAGATTGAGCATTTTGTTTGATTACTAGGTTTAAAATAAAAACTTGGCGGACTGTGAGAACATCACAATAACTATACAATTCAGTTGTTGAAAAAATGAAAGGTTTAAATGTACAGATTTTTAGCATTTCTTAAGTACTGTTAGTAGTAAGTAAGAAGACATTGACACAATGCATAATAAATTTATTTCAAGCGGTTTGGTCCTAAAATGTGTCTAATATTTTTGAAGATATATATTAGTCTACGTACTCTAGCACTTAGTAATTCTATATGTTCACGAAAATGAAGGCGTAATCGTGTTTTTTACATCATTCCGACTTTGTCAATGTGTTTAAGGCCCACTTTCAGCAAATTTGCTAAATCTCGATCCGACTAAAACTATATAATATCCCATGGAAAAATAACAAAACGCCAATGTCAATTGGGCATTAGTGTATGGGCTAAGAAACTAAATCGGTGTACCCATTTCATAAAAAAAACTACAAATAAAGACGAAGTCACATAAATTATGGCTTATTTTATTTCAGTTGCAAATCTCGACCATACTAAGACGTCGTGTTTAGTGGTAGTCATTCTAACGCACGGTGATACAGAAGGTGTGGTTTATGCTGCTGACAGAGGTTACCTTCTCAAAGATGTTACCAGTATTCTGGAGGCCGGCCACATAGGCCTCGTGAACAAACCCAAGCTATTTTTTATTCAGGTAATTGAATAACACTCTCCTCTCCTCTTGTATCCCTTGCTTGCAAATTTCCCAGTTGCCAACAGAGCCGGAGCACAGCGCTAGAGAAACCTTTCTGAGAATAATACTGTACAAGCGTACAATCCCGCCTCTTTAACTTTCTCAATATTTGTCAATCTATAGAAACGCTGGTTTTGGGTCTCTTTAAGAGGTTCTTCTAATATCGTCAGTACCTCAACGTTTTCCAGTACCTAACCTTTTCATCAATCTTATTTAATCAGGTTTTTAATAACTGTTACAAAGTATTCTGGGTGAATGTCTTTTCTACCTGATCCTGACCTCATTGAATTATTAATCAGAAAATTAAGAATTTAATAATAATAAAAAATCATTTATTTGCTAGGACATGGTAATTATGTGTTATTTTTTTAATAAGATTTGGAAAATATATTATTATGTTATTGCTATTATTTCTGAACGACTAAATAATTCGTCTATCATTTCAGGCTTGCAGAGGCGGTAAAGTTGATGAGGGTAGGACGGTGAGACATGACGGGGAGGAAAACCAGTTGCTCGTTGTGCCTTCTCACGCAGATTTTTTAATAATGCATTCATCAGTAGATGGTGAGTAAAGAAAAAATATATGGTTAATTGATGGATTTGAAAAGTATTTTTTTATGTCTTTGACATATAAATTAAGGAAGAAAGTCCTCTACATATCTCTCTTAAAAGTCTTACTGTTGTCTATCCTGTGCAGTTTGCTACTAATTAAAGTAGAGAGGCCACAGTAATATAGTTGAGTTAAGGGTGATAGACTATGAATGTAAGGGCTAGGCTACTAAAATGCTGTAGTCGTCAAACAACTACTCTGGATAATTGTTATTCCTAGAATAAAAATGCGGGTATTTAACCCGCATTTTCATTTTTTTTATTTTGAGTTTGCTACTGAAATATGAATATGAATATTCTACTATTTACTAGTGTCGTACGAGTCCTCATACCATGACAGTTGATAGGCAAATCTTTTAAGGTTTTAAAGGATAATATTCAAAGAATCATAAGAAGAAGAATGAAATAACGATATACATGGACCTATTTAAAAAATATCTTCTGGAGATTATGGCTTAAAATTAATGGAAAATAAATTTTATATAGTTTTTATCTTGATGCATAAGTAAACTGTACTAGCTGTGTATATCTTTCGGTGACTACTTTCTGCATAGGTAATGCCATCTCACATACGATCTTATTTATTCGGATTTCAGACAAATTTCAAATAACTAATACTGGCTGCTTCTACAGACATAGCGACATATTGCCATGTAATGGTATCAAACTTATCAAACTATATCTAAAATGACAGCTACCGAAATCGCCAGAGAGATTTTATTTTACAGAATCGCCCTAATGATGTTAGTGTAAAGTATACAATCTATTATTATCTTTTAGGTATTAAACGACAAAAAATTTCACCATTTCAGATCACTTATCTTGGCGAGACATTGGTGGATCTTGGATGATTCAGGAACTATGCGAAATTATAGATGCACATCACCATAATATGGACCTTTTACATCTGATCACTCTCACGAATAGAAATGTGGCTTACACGCGTGCTTCGAATACACCATCTAATTTGAGGACGCATAACATGAAACAAATCCCCGAGACACGTTTTACGCTGACAAAATTAGTAAAATTTTAAAACGTTCTGACAAACCAAGACCAATGCTTAAGTTTTATAAATATACATACTATTATGACGTGTTTTTCAGTTTTTATTTTCTATTAAAATATGCAATCGACTCGTACTTGTTGTTTAATCAGCATTATTTTGGCCATAAATACCCGTGGGGACGTTTCCGTTCATTATTACTATTAAGTTTTTATTGAATACCCTACAATCTTAATCATAATTAATAATTGTTTAGTAATGGCGATTTAATGTTGTTATAAAAGGTATGGTGCAAGATGAAAAAAAGCAAATGAACTGACTGAGCATTAATGAAAGATAGCTGACGTAAGCAGAGCGAACAATTTCAAAAGCATTGGATTTGTTGGCCTAACTAAAGAAACAATCACAGACCTAAGTGATAATAGTGTGTACAATACTTCTAAAGTTTGCTTTAATAGAAATCATCAGCCACACATGAGGTAAAGTTGATTAAACATTGTCGGAAAGTTATTTAAAAGCAAATTCTGAAGCATAGCGTGTTGCCACGATCTTGGGCTTAGATAACCTAGCGTCTAGTCTGGTATCGCGAGCCAATTCAATTTGTTTGCACAACGTTTGTCTATCAGTTGGTTAAATTGACTGATGAAACCTCCTCTCTTTGTCTTTGGTAATTTGTAGCGTTTAAAATGGAGGTTGAAATGGTATTTTTGGAGAGGAGGACGGGTGAATTGTACCCGCCGACTTATAACGACCAAATGAATGTATGCTCTTTTCAAGACTATTACTTGTTACTATTGAGGCCAATTCGCTTTAGAATAATATTATTTTTGGCTAAGATAGCATTCGCTGTGAAGTTTTATTCGCCAGTTTTTCTCCACAGCTAAAAACGGTCCTTAACTGGTGGTAGGGAAAAAATATGGTCTATAGGCTATGGTGCCGCATATCATTAGGTGGAGTTTTTGCCACCCTATTCATTAAAAAAAAATATATAGTCAAGAGTAGTGCTATTTGACCACAAACAGGATGGTTATTGCTCGGTGGGTCCCATACATTTCTGTCCGTTTCTCTCTTTTTTCTTGTCTTCTTTCTTTTTTCAATTGCGATGAATTTTACGCCTACATCCGAAAAATATTAAAGAAACATCTAAAATAAACCTAAAACTAACGGGGCGATAACATGTATTTTCGATTATCGTATACACGATTCTGGCATGATTGTTTAACCTAAAATAAAATTTGGTAAAAGTGTATCCTTGTTATCAACACAATAAAAAAGAGAGACTATTGCCAAATCAAAATTTAAATTTAGAAAATACAGCTCGCCAATCAAACCCAGTAATGAAGAGAGAAGTGAATTAACGATATATATATTTTAGATAAAGTATTTTATTATTATTATATATTATTATATATATACTAGCTGTCCCAGCGAACTTCGTACCGCCATAAAAAAATAGGGGTTGGTGGTAGAAGGGTGAAAATTTAGGGTTGTATGTATTTTTGTATGATGTATCATAAGAAAAATAAGAAAAAATATCTAAAATTAAAAATTAGGGGTGGATTACCCTTAACATTTAGGGGGATGAAAAATAGATGTTGTCCGATTCTCAGACCTACCCAATATGTACACAAAATTTTATGAGAATCGGGAAAGCCGTTTCGGAGGAGTTTAACCACAAACACTGCGACACGAGAATTTTATATATTAGATATAGATGCCTTCACATATTATACATCGCTATGATTGTAACTGTTCTGTAGTGTAACAGCGGGAACATATCGCACCCCCAGTGGAAAAAAGGCATAAGTGAATTTACGTTGAATCATCGATTTTATCATATTTGAATAGTTCGTTTGACGATACATATGCTAAATTTTTTTCATATTTTTCTTGTTAAATTTGACGAATTAATACAAGAAATTAATTTTGAGATTTTTTATTACATCACATTTTTTCTTAAGGATTAAAAGATTATGTGATGTTCGGTGCACAACCGAACATTTATATTTTGCTTATTAATTATTTTGCAATACTTAACACCGTCACGGCGCCTGGCCTAATTTAGGTCATTAGCCGCGGTGCAAATATAAATTAGTGTAGATTTCGATGCATAAGCGAACGCACTCATTAACATACATTATTATAGTATTTTAAGAACATTTTGTGAACAAACAATAAACACGTAATTATTTTCGGTAACAACTTTATTATTTTAACATCCACTAAGCTCAGGCACTAACATATGGTCCTTCGAGCTATACCTCGCGCGCGTAATATCGTGATTTTTGAGGTGAATGAACAGTGAACATTGGAATACAGTGGTGTGTGAATTTAGTGGACTATCAAGCAACACCAGTAACACTGTAGTTACTGACGTGCCGGTTACGAAAGGATTCGTAGCCCTATCAGCAAGGAAACTTGGCGTGGTGGCCAGGTGATTCCAGCTTTATCATCATTCAAGTAAGGTCGTTTTATTTTTACTCTTTTCATCATGGAAGACTATGTCAACATCATCGAAACTCAAGGTGAGATCATGGGTGCGATGGAAAAATTACTTACCAACTTTAAGAAAGATTCATCTGAGCGGAAGACCCCTACCAATATCAAAAGGCGGTTGGAAACTCTTTACCAATATTGGGCAGATTTTCAGGCAAATCATTCTAAATTAGACGAAATTACTGATAAATCAGCTTATTCGTATTTCACCGAAAATGATTATGAACAAACAAAGAAATATTATTTTGACGCTAAAGCATACATTGAAAGCTTTTCTTCGAAGCCAAGTACAAGTACCCTTAACATAGAACCTAAGGTTGACATTAGATGCTCAACACCAGTAGGCATAAGAGAGAAATACACGCCTGATCCTATTGGAACCTCGTCGAGAACTACGCCGGTTCCGAACAGTAACATAAGCAACATGCTAAGAAAACAAGAAGCGAACTTTAAAGCATTTCAAAGAACTGTAGGGCTCATTGATGTTGAGTCTATTACAGAAAAGTGGGAGTTTGAAGACGCGTTAAGGTCTTTACAAACTCGTTGGTCCTTGGTAGACAGTCTACACTGGGAAATAGTTTATGAAGCGGGCGACGAAAATATAACATATGAGAAAAAATTTGATTATTATGAAAAATTATTTAACAATTTGAAAAAGTCGATTAATACAAAAATGTGGTCAATGGCACATCGCGAGAAATCTACTCCTCAATTAGATATTCCCGTTTTTACTGGTCATTATAACCAGTGGGTATCCTTTAAGGACTTGTTTACAGAAGCTATCCACAACAACCCGTGTTTGTCAAGTGCTCAGAAAATGCAGTTCTTAAAAAGCAAGGTGCGTGGTGAGGCAGAAAGGCTCATTCAACATCTCACCATTAGTTCCGAGAACTACATTGCGGGTTGGAATATTTTAAGCAATCGCTATAACAATAAAAAACTTATTTTTACATCTTATATGAACACCCTTTTAGGGCTCCCTAACATGCAACTACAATCAATGAGTCAAATAAAGAAAATGCACGACGTCGCAATAGAAACCTTCAATGCAATAAAAAACCTGGAGGTCGACATTACAACATGGGATCCGATTTTGGTTCATTTACTATCACAAAAATTAGATTCGGAAACTCATGCCGATTACATTGAATCCTTAAAAAACCCAAGAGAGCTACCAGTGTTACAAGAGTTATTAGATTTTCTCGAAGGAAAATTTACTGCATTAGAATCATCGCGGCGCAAACAAGAAACTAATCAACAGAGATCGAATAATGTAGAAAAGGAGACGCACTCCGTCCGCCAAAAGCCATTTTTTCAAAATCAGAGATATCATCAAGCTTTAGTTTCAAAAGGACTGCACTCTAATAAATCACCTAACGTAAGCAATTTTCAACATAAAAACACAAAACCGTTGGTGAAATCTCTACATGTTTCATCCTTTATTAAATGCCCGTTATGTAATCAAGATCATGGCATTTATAATTGCAAGAGCTTTTTAGAAATGTCAAATGACCAGAAACTTAGAACAGTAAATAATTTGAAACTTTGTGCTAATTGTCTTTTTAGTCACAATGGTAATATGTGCATATCAACTAGAACATGCCGTAAATGCACTGCTCAGCATAATACTTTGTTGCATGACGCATACAATCAAGCAATGCCCACGGTGACACCCAGGTCATCGACTTCAAAAAAGGCAAATGAACCTAGTTCACACGTGTCTCAAAATGACTATTCGGAGATTTTATTGGCAACAGCTATTCTTGAAGTAAAAGCTGCGGACGGAACTCCCCTTCAAATGCGAGCTTTAATTGATCAAGGTTCCCAAATCTCATTGATCAGCGAAAATGCAGCACAGCGTTTAGGTTTAAAAAGACAAAAATGCAATGGGACTATTTTTGGAGTAGGTCAAAGGGAAAACTCATGTAAGGGCGTTATAAACATCGAATGTACTTCGTTATACAATGAATACACGTTCCATGCAGAGGTACTCATTATGAACAGTTTAATAAAAAATCTACCGAACAAAACATTCAAAAAACCGTCTTGGAATTTCATATCAAACATAAATTTAGCTGATACTGACTTCTATAACAGTCGTCCTGTAGACATATTACTAGGTGCTGATGTGTACTCAAAAATCATTTTGAGCGGCATAATTAAGGTAGAAGACGAAACAGTACCCATTGCTCAACAGACACAGTTGGGTTGGTTACTATGCGGTCATGCAAAGACACATTATCATTGCAACGTCATCACGAACAACATAGAAAACATTGAACGATTTTGGGAAATTGAAGAAATAACAGAGGCCGGCTGCCTTTCTAGTGAAGAGCAGGAATGCATAAATTTTTTTTACACCACAACAGTAAGAAAAGAGGATGGTCGGTATGAGGTTCGGCTACCCCTAAAATCGGAAATTCAGAAAAAATTGGGCTCTTCAAAACAAATGGCTATTGCTCAATTCCTCAACTTGGAAAAAAGATTTAATAAACAGAAACAACTAGCAAAGGACTATAAGGAATTCATGGGCG